GGAAAGGAAAGGAAAGGAAAGGAAAGGAAAGGAAAGGAAAGGAAAGGAAAGGAAAGGAAAGGAAAAGAAAAAGAAAAAGAAAAAGAAAAAGAAAAAGAAAAGAAAAGAAAAGAAAAGAAAAGAAAAGAAAAGAAAAGAAAAGAAAAGAAAAGAAAAGAAAAGAAAAGAAAAGAAAAGAGAAGAGAAGAGAAGAAAAGAAAAGAAAAGAAAAGAAAAGAAAAGAAAAGAAAAGAAAAGAAAAGAAAAGGAGAAATAAGAAAAAACAAACAAACAAACAGCTTTTTCCACAGGTGAGATCTTTTCTGTTGTAACAAAAAGCTTCATACAACTGTTCTTATAACACAACATGTCAGATGTATTTGTTCCTTGACACAGACTAGGAGATATGTTTAACAGAAGTCAGTATTATTTATGGTGTGAAATGCTGCTAAAATAGAAATGTTATGCATACTTTATTATGCCACCTGGGCAAAGAGTTGACTAAAGGTGCATTACAAACAAATACTGAGGTGAAAGAGAAATCCACCTTTAATGGGGATGTAGAGAAAGACGTCCCATAGCTATGGCATTGTCTAGAACTCTGTTCTAAGTCAGTTAGTGAAGACACAGGTTGGTTTGTGTGTTACACAAACAGAAGCAGAAAGATTCTGATTAAATTATGGAACTACACGAACCAGCTAAGGATTGATCTTCATTACAAAGTAGGCAAATTTAACATCATTAATTAGAATGTGGAAATCACTGGTGTTGAACTCCTAGAAGGAAGATGACTGCCTATAACAAACTGTCCAACAGCAACAGGCTATGGAAAGATGTAAATGTGTTCCTAGAAAAGGGGTGAAACTTTCAGTTTAAACTTCAGTCCCCTGATCTTGCAGCACCTTTGTCTATGACAATAAAAGAAAGTCCCTTAAACTGATAAGCAACAGTCTGACAGAGCCTGTTTGTGCACTTTGAAGATCATTCTGGTCTGAGCAATTCCTGCTGCATCTCCTAACTTCAGGGGAAAAAAAAAAAAATTATCTACCTTTCACCCCAGAGGTTTTGAGGTACTTTTCTACACTGCTTGAAAGCCGGGCTAGTACATACGCTTCACCCAGCCTCTGCAGTTCTCAGAGCAGTGCACATGGCTGAAGATTTACAGCCCCACATGGTGAGATGGAGGAGCAGCTCCAGGAGCCCCCAGTCACACAGCTAAAGCACTGGTTGCCCACCTTGTGCGAGTTCCACGGCGCCTGGCTTTCTCACCCTTGAAAAGCAACCACAAAGTAAGCCGCAAGCCTAAGAGGCTGCAGCTTATAGGTTGGCTCTTGGCCAACACAGCCCTTTCAGCTTGAGTTGCTTCGACAGCTACCAAAACCACCACGCGCTGGTACATCCACACAGCAGCGCTCTGCCTTCCCACAATCACAAACTGTAGGGGCTGGAAGGGATCTCTGGAGCTCATCTAATCCAACCCCCTGCTAAAGCAGGTTCCCTACAGTAGATCGCACGGGAAAACATCCAAGCGAGTTGCAAATATCTCCTGGAAAGGAGACCTCAAAACCTCTCCGGGCTGCCTGTTCCAGCGCTGTGAACCCTCACCCTTCTCCTTGCTGAGCGAACCCTCTTCTCACGCTAATCCCGACTTCCTCTGCGAGGAGCAGAAGAAATGCCCAGGACTGCTACAGCGTCTCCGCCGCCTGCAACCCCAGAGGTGTGACGGAGCACCAGCGCGCGGCAGCGAGCAGCAGAGGGAAGGTGAGCTGCTTCCTCATTCCTCGCGCTGTTTGGTTGCGGACCGGCGCTGCCGTAGCGCAGCCCCTCGTACGTCCCTCGGCCGCCCTGGGAGCGCTTGCAAACGCACCGCTTCCGGCGTTTATTTATTTACTTACTTCGAAGAACGCGACATACAGTAACACGCCTATTAATCACTTTGAACAGCGGAGCGGACGGGGGAAGGTCTGCTTACAGCCAAACCTCCCTCAGGACGCCGCGGTACCGCTTGCAACTGCTCGGGAACGCCGAGAAACGGGCTCCGATTTTACACGGGCGAGCGCTAACACGAGGCGCAGCGCGGCCCGCTCGATTCATGGCGCCGCACCGGGCCAGGCCGCGCCCAGCGCCCTCCAACCGGCCCGGCCCCCCGCGCCGCCCGCCTGCAGGGGAGGCGCTGCCCCGGGCCCTGCGCCGTGAGGAGGCGGCTCGCCCGGCCCCGCCACCCTCCGCGCGGCCCGGCCGTGGCTCCTCCTCCCCGCCTTCCTCCTCCTCCTCCTCCTCCTCCTCCTCCCGCTCGGTCCCAGGGCGCAGGGCTGACATCACGCCCGGGGTTTCCATCCGACCGCGGGAGGGGGAGGCTGAGCGGCGTGATGGCGGCGGTCGGCAGGACTTGAGCGGCGGCGGAGCGGAGCGGCGCAGCGCAGCGCCCACCCTGCTTCTCTCCGCGCCTCTCCCTGCCCGCTTCGGGGCCCATTGTTCGGAGCCGCCGAGGGCGGCGGGAGAGCGTTCCGCGCCGGGCTGCCGGGAGCCGGCGGCAGTGAGCGGCGGCCCAGGCCCCGCCGCGGCCGCGGGAGCAGCTCCCGACCGCGGGCTGCGGCACGAAGCGCCCCGCGCGGCGCACGCAGGCTCGGGCCGGGGAAGGCCTGGCCGGCCGAGCCGGACGCGCGCAGGTAGGAGGCGGCCCGCCGCGGTTTCTCTTTCCCACGCGCCGGACCGGAGTTGCGCGGCGCCCGGACGCGGATCGGGCGTGCGGGGGGCGAGGGGGGCTGGATGAGGGGCGCGGGGCCGCTTTCCGCGAAAGGAGGGACGGAGCGGCGCGGGCCGGGGCGGCCGGCCGACGTCGAGCCGCTCTCGCTGGCCCCTGCGGGGGGAGCCCGTGCCGAGCCGGCGGGGAGCGGAGCGCGGCCTTGGCTCTCCTCCGGCCGTGGGGGGCGCCGGGGGAAGCGAGCGCGGAGGACGGCGGCGGCGGCCTCGCGGACGCTGCCAGGGAGCCTCGGCCGGGAGCGGCGCCTGTGCAGGCCGCGCCGCCCGCCCGGCGCCGGCTCCGGGGGCGGGAGGCAGCTCCGGACGGGCCCCCGCGGCAGCGCCCGGGGGCGGACGGAGGGAGAGCGGCGGCGGGTCGCCTCGGAGCGGGCGGCGGGGCCGCTCGCCGCGCTTCCGGGGGTCCGGAGCTCGGGGGCCCGCGGGGCGTTCTTCCGCGCGCGAGGCGCGGTGCGGAACGCGGCCTTCTCGGGCAACGGCGCCGAGCCCCGGCCTCGCCTCGCCGTCTTTCGCGGGTTAAAGGGCTCCTTCTGCTCGTTTTCCCTCCGTCATCCCTTTGTTTGCTGGCCCGAGTAGCTGAGAGGGGTCTGAGCGTGGGGAATTTCCCATCCCGCGGCGGCACCGCTCCCTCCCTCTCCCCCACGGGCGGAGGGCAGGGCCGCTGCTCGCCGGGGAGAGCACCCCGGGGCAGGCAGCCCGCCGGCAGCTCCGAGGGCTCTCACGGCAGGAAACGTGCGGGAGCTGCTTTCTCTGAGTTTGTGCTTGTGCCTAGAGAGCAAAAGTTTAGGCTCGCGGTGCATCTGAGACTGCAGTGATCAAATTAAGGTGCTCCTGCATGTGAAATGGGGATCATTCTGTCTGCAGAACCTGGCTACTTTGATTAAGTTTGGACTTTTTCTCTTCTGATCTTTCTCTTTTCTTTTTTCTTTCTTTTTTTTTTTTTTTAAACGAGGCGGTCTTCAGTCTTCATCTCCCTGCTTCTGCTCTCAGCTGTATGTAAACAGCATGTATGTGTATGGAATTGCTTCCACTGTGTTAGTTTCTGCAGATCTTGGCAGAGCCTGTAGTCTTTACCTATGTCTTCAGTTTTTCTTGAAAATGTACAGCTAATTTGTCCCAAAGTCAGAACTATGGCAAAAGTTACGCCGCGAGGTGTGGTGCACATGCACAGTAAGCCATTCTTCTCACTGTACAATACTTAAGTGAGGGTCATTTCCATAACGTTTCCTGTTCTGCATTTAGTGGTTTAGCAGAACTGTCATCTTTATAGCAGTGTCAATGAAAAGTTGCATAAATGGGACCTGACTGCAGTTGGCCAAAAAACTGCATAGGTCTTTTCTTCTTTGCATTTTGTATGTTTGATTCTTCTCTATTATTATGTTTTGTTTAAGTACAGCAGATAAAAAAAGACCTGTTGAGAAGAATGGGAACTGTGAATGGATAACACAGAATGCTGTTTTTCAGTTAAAAAGAGGACATGAAATGTGATAGGTGCCTGCTTTGAGTGTTAATATGACAGACCAAGTTGTTTCTGTTATATTTTTAGTTGGAAACATAATTTTCATTTTTTGTCAGTGTTTTCCTTTATCATTTTAGGTACTTGGGCAAAACTCTTGACCATCTGTAGAGAATAGCAAGTCAAACACGTTTCTTCGAAAACATACGAAGAAGTACCAGAAGGGGGATTCTTGACATACACCTTGTAACCTGAGTGGACTTTCTTTTTAACTTATTAATACTTACAATGAATGGGCACAGTGATGAAGAAAGTGTAAGAAACAGCAGTGGAGAGTCAAGGTAAGCACTCAATTTCAGTTATTCATGAATATGTACTCGTCTGTACTTTGTCTGTTAAAATTGATGTATACATTTTAACTTTGTTCCAGAGCCCTCTGATTAGTGAGCAAACTGTAGACAGGAGAACTGGGCGCGCTTTCATATAAGATGCTTCATCTGCTTGTTACATTCATTTTCCTTCAGCTAAGAATTGTAATGATCGTGCAGATCCTTTATACAATAAAGCTTAGATAATAATAAAACTGTGTCAGCATCCAACAGAACAGTGTTAGTCTTTTGAAGAAATAAAATGTTTGAAAAGTCAAGAGCTGAAACAGAACTGGAAAGTTAAAATAAAGCTAGTGCCTAGGATGTGCAAGGCACATCTCTAAAACGGGAGCAGTGAGCTGTTGATTTCAGTTTTTTACTTATATTACTTCATGAGGCTTCCTTTTTTCACAGAGCTGTTAAAGCAGTGTAATCATTGAAATCATTAACTTTCTGTTTGTTTTCCAAAATGGAGTTGCAGTTTACCAGCTTTTCTTTTTTTAATTATAAGGAAGAATGAAATGTAATGAATAAACTTCAACATAAGCACATCTTCCTCTGATACTGAATGCCAGTGCAGTGTTCACTTGGTTGTAAGACCCCAGTTCAAAACTTCCTTCCTCCACGCAGGATGACAGCAAACTTGTTGAGGTGGAATTGAAAGTTTTCTTTCTGGAACTGTGCAAAATTCAACAGGAGTCTCCTGCTCTGTACTAATTAGGAAAACTAATAAATCTGAAAATGTGAACAATGCTGGAGAATTAAGAAGTCAAAGCAATCTCGCAAATATAAATCAAGTTTAGACTTCTCTTTTAAGAGGTGGTTGTGATTATGCTGTTCATTTACCAGTTTGACTCTGTGCACCTCTTTCCGATTTGATGCCGTAAATTGGAGGTCAGAAAGAATGCTGAGTTCTGTGCACTTAATGGAAATATCCATTTGGGTAGGGGAGAGAGATCTAAATCGTTGCATCAGATGAAGAAATTGAAGAGGAATAATGGCTAGCCATTACGATGATACGTTTATACTGGTGATGGATTCTAGCTAGCAGATGAATTTTGAGTTTTTTAGTAAATGTCAAAATATTCTTGGTTACTTTGAAAAACAAACACACACACGCACACACACATACCACACACACACAAAAAAAAAAACCCACCAAGCACAAAAACATCATTAGATGAGAAGAGAAAGATGAAACAAAATAGTGTGAGTAAGACTAGTTTTCTCTTCTTGAAGTCCTCAGTGTTTAACAGGGACTACTCTGGGTTTGTGTGCAAGTTTTTTATTACATGAACAAGTTACCTTACAGGAGATAAGGTAGGAAAGCTACTTTGTATCAAATTTTTCCCTAAAATGCATTAAATGTATTAAAGTTATTTTAAAACTGTAGCAAATAACTTTAGCAAAAGACTGAAACAACTAAACATCATGAAAACTTCCCCGCAACTTTATTAAAAGTAAGTATCAGGAAGATTTACTGTACTTGAAAATTGATGATTACTTGTGAAATGTTTGTTCTTTCTTTTAAAAATGCTGTTGAATGCAACTTAAAGCCTTAAAAAATGTAAAATACTAACAGCTGTTTTTTTTTTTAGGCTTGTAACAATTAACTCTGTAGCCTGTTTCTCAGAAAGGTATTAGAAAACCTATTTTGCATGTTGACTGTATATTACCAGATCTCTCTGTTTTTGTAAAGAAAAACTGAAAGCTTTCAGTTTTAAGTGATGGAACCCTTTTCTTTCTAACCTGCTTCCATTATCAAAATAATAATTGCAAAAGGACTGCCAACAGTTACAGACTACCTTAAGTTGACTTGCTCCACAATTCTACATTTTTTTTTACTATAAGGGGAATTGCTTAAGTCACTTGAGGCTAACTGTAATTAGGGAAATGTTGCTGTTCAGCTTTTAAACCCATAAGTGTGAGTTGTGGAATGTTACTAAATGGAAGAATAATAGGTAATAGTACTGTGGATAGTGTATTATCCTTAACTGGGCTGGGGAGAGAAGCAAAACAGTTGAGAAAGCAATTGAGAATTGCTACTGAGAAGTGACTGAAAAGTAGATTAAACTTTCAGCTGTGGGTAGAAGAGATTAAGGTAAATACAGTGAAAATCCAAGCAGCAGCATTTGTTTAAAACAGATGTTTTAAATTATGTTTTTTCACAAGTACAGAGTGACCACTTTCTCTTTTTGATGCCTGGTGTAAACTTGTGTGGCCGTCATTCTGAAATGAGAGCTGTGATCACAGTGAAATACACTGAATTAGGGAAGCCACCAGTATTACTTAGGAAAGTTAAGGGGAGCAGTGGGTTAAGACTGGATTGACAAAACTACACAGGCCTTGCGGATATTGTTTTAAGGAAACATGTCTTGCAGTAGGTGTGGAAGGACTATAGAATCATCAGCATTGGGATTACTGCTGAAAAGATCACTCACAGGCCTTGAACTTTGTACGTTGGTTAGCGCTGTGGTAGGGAATTGGAGCTTTCTTTTACTCCCTGTGACTAGCTGTGAAGAGCAAGCAGTTAAATCGGTGGAAGAAATGGCTTTTGGACTGTTCTTTTTTTCACTGTTGTATCCTTCTTTCTGATAGAAATGCAGAAAATTTTCCCTTGTTGCAGGTGCTGAGCATGAAACTGTGTTTTATTACAGATAGAAAAGTGCATCTCTTGGTTTTCATAGTTGAATACCTTTTTGGTACTGCCTGGACTTCCCTTGCTACTTTAGCAACCTGTGAAGCTATAAATCAGATCTAGTACCAAGCATGATGGAAGTTATAGACCAAGATAAACACTGTCATCTAATCTTGTTGCTTGCTGTTCTGATTTCTGTGTGACAATTACAGTAGAGTCTACTCTCCAACTTTTTACTCACTTGAAGTCGCTATGGGATATTTAAGTAGCTCAAGGTAAAAATACAGCAGATTCTATTCACCCAGATAACAAGTGCATGTAGGCATAAAAACTTAATACCAGTGTTCTAAGATGTTGGCCCTTAAAGTCAGGCAGTGCGCTTTTTGTGCAGTATTGCTCACACTGCAGTCTTGACTATGAGTAAATGCACACCAGTTAGCTAGTAGTAAGAAAGCTTAATCAGCAAGGAAAGGCAGTTATACCTGAACAGCAAGACAAGCTCCAGGTAGAACAGGGACTGCAGAAGTGAAACACTGATGGTAATAGAATAGTAATCTGATTTCCCATCTCTTTACTCTTCCTATGTTTCCTGAAGAACAAGGTATGGAGGACTTGTGAAGGCCTTCCTACTTTGTAGGTAAAAATGGATGTGCTCAGCACAGCTTATCTAGAAAGCAGCTGAATGGAATGTAGGGCACTTTTTCCTGTAAGCTGAAAGCAGCTGCTTAGGCCAAAGAATTTTACCGTTCTTTATATACTTGAAAGCTGATGTTAACCAAAGATAGCAACTTTTGCAGGTTTAATTCATTTCATGCACGATCCACAAATAATATCTAACTAAGACCAAGGACGTTATCAGCAGGTTTCAGTTTGACATAGAAATTTATAATTTCCCTGGAAGATTGAGAAGATAAGGCCATCTGCTATACATTCTTGCTTTCAAGAAATAGAGACTCCCCACGCATGCTTGCAGAATTATTCCCTCTTGCTGGCATCTTTTCATTATAAGTTTATTAGATAATAGTAAGAAAAGTTTGGGTGGATAGCAAGAGAGTGGAAAAAACTTCCACATCCCAGTCTCTGTCTAATTTCAGTTGGCAAATACTTGCTTCCACTCCACTATTCTTAGAGCTTCAACACTTCAGATTTTTTTGTTTTTTTGTTTTTTTGTTTTTTGTTCTTCAGAGAAGCTTTCAGAACTCAATTACTGTGGTACAGGTAAGTTCATGTACCAGATACTGATGGATAGAGTGTCAGAAGTATTTTTTGGATTAAGTTGTATTTAATATGTTTTTTGCTGGTGGTTTAGAAGGAGTTTCTGATAAAGACATCATTGTTTTGCTGCTGGAACCAGCTGCATGAAGAAAGATGGTCTGTGTGCCCAGAGAGCAGTAGGCCCTTGGGGTACCACTGGTATCTCCTGCCTGTGAGGTGTTTTTTTGTTCTTGTTGTTTTGTTTTATTTTAAAATAAATTTTAGGTAGCATTTCCTTAAAACAAATTAGCAAACAGAAAGCCACCTTTAGTGTGAATATTAAGTTTTAATCATGTGTCATTTTGTATGTGTTACCTCTGCTTGTCCTGAATGGGCTTCATAATCAATGTTTACATTCCTTCAACCTCTGAATTATTTGAAATAAAAACAAAACAAAAAACCTGTCCGCTGTTGTCACATTTGTTTTTCAAAGACATTGCAGAAATTCACCTTTTGTTTTTTTTTTTTAGTGAAATTTTAATTTGCTTAAATTGATACTCTTGTTTCTTGGTATTCCTAAAGCAGAAGATTCTTCAAGTAACTTCACCTGATGAATACACTCTAAATCAACAGTGATAAATTGTCACTTGGGTCCATTATTAACATAGATCTGATATAGGAGTCTAAAAGTTTAGGCAGATCTTTCACAACTGGACTTGTATAGCTTTTCATCCTTTGGCTGCTCTTTCAAGTGCCCTGTATAAATTAGCAGACTGCATTCCTTACTGTTTGTTTCAGGTGGACCTTGTTATAAGGAGTAAGCGAGTAAAGCTAATCTGAAGATTTGAAGGAACTAATGACTCTGTAACAGAACAGTTGCCTTTAGTCTCTTTCCCTGTCAATGATGTGTCTATTCAGATGTCATCTTCCCAAAGCATTCTCAAGTTTCCTTGGATAGGTACTTCCTGGGAATTTGAGAAATTAATGGGTAGAAGCAGACACAGAAGTTACATCTTCTGCTACTTTCAGTAAGCTGTGTTGTCTTTCTTACAAAGTAGTTTTAAAATAAGTGCTGTGTTAATAGATACATTTTTCTTAAATATGTTGGGAGTACTCAGAAACAGTGTGGGTTTATTTCTTTGTAGTTTGTAGGTTTTTTTGTTTTGTTTTAGAAGGTAAAATACTGCTGTGTCAGGCTTCCATATCAAATTAGATTTGACATATGTTACTATACAAATATGATTCTTTGACTCAAGGATTAGGGGTGAGAGAGGCTTCTTGCCTAAATATACTGAAAAGTAATCTTTCTAAACTTCACCCTAATTTGTCAATATGCATGAAACTGTATTTCTTTGCATAGAAATCCTATCCTGAGAGCGTGTTCATTTTTAGCAGATACTATTGCATTCCTGCTGCTGCAAGTTATTACTATCATTTAACTTTGCCATCTTTGCCTTGATTTGTTTGTGTGGTTGTTGTGGTTTAACCCAGCAGGTGGCTAAGCACCACACAGTTGTTCACACTCTCCTCCTCTTCCCAGTGGGACAGATGAGAGAGCTGGGGAGAAAAGATGTAGAACTCACGGGTTGAAACAAAACTACTTACTGAGATAATGAAAAGGAAAAGGATCAAGTCATGCATGAGCAATTGCTTATCACCCCGTGAACAATGTCCAGTTAGACCCCTGTGCAGTAGAAGAGAGAGATGAACTCCCACCCCCTTTAAAACTGCTTCTGCATGATGTCATACAGTATGGAGTATTCCTTTAGCCAGTTTAAGTCATCTATCCTAATTCTGTTTTCTCCCAGTTTCTTCAGGCCTTCACTGAGAATGGCCATAGCTCTACACAACACAGTTTAGCAGCAGCTATAAACATTGGTATGTTTATAACATTGTTTTTCTACTAGAACAAAAATCATAGCGTCATACCAGACAGTCTAGAAAATAGTTCCATCCCAGCTGTAACTAAGACAGTGCTAGAGAAGTAGTCTCTCTTCTGCAGTACTGAAGAGAGTATCATAATTGTGTTATTCATCACACTTACATCCGTATTTCCATAACTCTATGATACTCCAGTAGATGCTTTGTGCAGCCCTGTGTATTGCTATCTTTGTTTAGATTTTGGGGTTTTTTTGGTTGTTTGTTTTTAGTAGAACAAGATACAGAAATGTTTGATTTCCAATTTAAGAATACCTTTTATCACTTAATGCTGTTTTCATTTTAGTATTGCCCCTCTCCTACTTCCCCTCAAATACTTAATTTACTTGGAGCAGGGAGAGAAAAACGCTTATGAGGCATATTATCAAAAAAGAGGGATTTAAAAAAGCAGAAATTCAGTTTTGAGTAATGGAGTTAAGTGCCTAGAAGAGCGCACATACTCTTCAACAGTTAATGAATGTTGTCTTTTTTTATACGTTATATTAGCAGAACCTCTGTTCTGTAGCTTGACTTGTCTAGCCATATTATTTTTCATCTGCACACTGTGTTGTAACTTTGATGGCTTTTATAATTGCTATTAGAACTGGTGTCATGGAAACTTCGTCACTAGCGAAGAAGGCAGGAAAAAAAAAGCTAGTTAGACTACAGGATAGAGTTGCTCAGAAGTCAGCAGTGCAAAACTAAGACAAAGGGAAGACAAAATATGTTGGGTAGGGTAGTGTAAATTGACAAACACAGTAAAACAGTTAACTTAAGCCTTGTGCACTGCCTCAGTCTATATAATGTAATATATATGACTTTTCTTCCAGAATTGCTGAAAGAAGTCAGGCTTTGGCTCTGGATTTTCCTGCAGAGAGCTTTTATCTTGAATGTGTTCAAAAAGCCAGAAAAAGGCAGCAGTGTCCTAATTTATGCTAGGTACCTGAGATAGTGGAGATTTCTCTCTGTTTTCAAATTTCAGTCAGACTTTTTTCTAAGTCGGAGGAAAAGGGGTATGTGGGTATGTTGTGTCCAGAACCTCTCTCTCATGCTACTTCAACTGTCCGAAACATAGTGAGTATGGTGTTCTCTTTCACCTTTTGCTGAACTGTTTCTAGTGGAAGCATGGTAATCAAAGGCAGTGACCCTAGGCTGTAAGGAAAAAGGGTAAGAGAGACCACACATTGCCTTTCCTTTGAGGTATGGGGAACTCTCATGAGCAGAGGTCCGGAATTGTTCCTGTGATGTTATTTATGTAACAGCATTAGTCAGCAGGTAGCAGGTAATTATTGCTGTAATCTTAGTCCTTGATTGATGAGATATTTTAGTTTTAGTGTTCTTTGTGTCTTATACCTAGAGATTTGATACCAGAACCGCAGTTTAGTTGATTAATTTATGTGGAGGTCAGCAGTGTTACTTTGCTCTAAAACTTGTTTTTGGAAAGCTTAGAAAAAATATGAACTATAGCTTGATTACATCAGATAATATTTCAAGCTTGTTAGGCAGAAAGAATTGCTAGTAGAATATGCCTCAAGAAATGCAAGGAAAATTGAAGAAGCCCACAAAGGTGGAAAAGAAAGTGACAAGGGTGCTATGACTGCCTTGCAGGAACTGCCTCCCTGAATTTATATTTTAACATTCTTACATTAAAACTGAACGTAGATTCTGTTTCTTCAGTGCAAATAAACTGCCTTGCTCTTATTCAGGTTTCTTTCTATCTTTTTTTTTTTAATGGAACATCTAATTCAAAAGTCAAATTTTAGAGTGAAGAGAGTGAAATGCTTCTCACTTGTCAACCGGCTGGCAATGGTAACTTGCAGTGACGATTTACAGAAAGTAAACATGTTTTTATATTAGATTGTGTCTCCCTTTTTCACTCCAAGAAAGATTAAATCATTTCTGCTGATAAACTTTGGAGTGAGAGATTGTTGTCTTCAGATTCTCAAAAGCATGTAGACTTCTCTCAAGTCAATTGTGCTCGTTTTTTTACCCTGTTAGGACAGCTATAAGGGCAACCATTCCAGCGAATCAAGAAAATTACATCTGAGCTGCTAAGAATCTGAATGAAACTCCTGTATTCAGAATATCTTTTCCTATGAGCCTCAAGAAGTCAAGCAACTACATTTTTAAAACCTGTGGCATACAAACTTTCTAAATTCATTGCCTCTTTGTGCAGACAAAGTGCAGGAGGTATTAGACCATACAGCATTTTAGGCACTTGGAAAAGCAGCTGCAGTCATAACGCAATGTTGAGTGTGTTTGTACTGAAATTAAAAGCTACCAATAAAGTAACCCCTTGTTTTCAATTTGATATAGGTTTTTTACTGATTTACACTGATGTATATTTTTGTTGCAGTATGGTATGAGTAAGAAATACCTGCTTGTTCCAGTGCTTTTTCAGTCTCTTAGGTTGATAAGATATTTGTATTATCTTAATTTCTCCTGCTTGACTCTTCAAATTAGTTTGAATGTTCTTGTTTTATCTTCGCATTTTTTAGTCTACAGAAAACATATTTGATAAATGAAATCTCATTTCTTATTTTTTTTAACCTTTTTTTCACCTCAACTTTTATAATAAACTGCATATGTAAGTGGGCTAATTTAACGGTACATTCATAGTGATGCCAAGATGACTTGGTTTTCAGTACTTGAGCCATTGTGTAATATCCCGCTAATTTCTAATTGCAGCAGATCAGATGATGATTCTGGGTCAGCTTCAGGTTCTGGATCTGGTTCAAGCTCTGGAAGCAGTAGCGATGGAAGTAGCAGCCAGTCAGGTAGCAGTGACTCTGAATCTGGTTCAGAGTCAGGCAGTCAATCCGAATCGGAGTCTGACACATCTCGAGAGAAGAAACAAGTTCAAGCTAAACCTCCAAAAGCTGATGGAACTGAGGTAAAACAAAATATACAAATGAGTCCTTGGTGGAGGGAAGAAATATCACTCTGCTGTTTGTTTCAGGAAGATTGTCATTATAAAACATAATATTTTAAAGTGTATTGATTTAAAACATTTGTTTAATTTTACCATGAATAAGTACTTGAAGTAATGCTCTTAAATTTTCACTTTTGTAAATATTTTGAGTTAGATGCTTGCTTAAGTGTTTTTATGCACGAACTTGTACTTATGGAAGACAAAATCAGATAAATTTCTGAATTTCTTTTTTTTTTTTTTTATAATGTTTCTGTAATACTTAATTTCATTGTATCAGTAAAAGATCCTATAAAAATTTCCAGATTATAGACAACGGGCTTTTTGCATAACCAAGTTTGCTAGGTTTGGGAAGAAGTGGTATTTATAACTTTCCTAAAATTCAGTGGGCCAAAATTACCTGCACTCTTCTCCATTACATGGACTTACTTGGGTGATAAACTGTACATGTATGAAAGTCAGTAATATATTATTTGTTGTAAAGTTTGAAGACTATTATGGATTGTATTTTATGTTTTTGTTCATGTACTTCACTATTCCTGTATGAAGCAAAAACATTATCAGGTATGTGGCCTGAAGTGGTTTATCTAGATCAGTTTAAAAATCTAGTTTATAGTGACAGAGCCTACAAAACTATTATGAAACTTCCTAGAAAAGCTATCCTAACAGTTCTTACGTAATAGTCTGTTTTGAGGAAATCTTACTGTTTTAAAACACTACCTAATATTATTAGCGCGTAGTAATTTGAAATGATTTTTTTATTATTGACAGAATTGAATTGAATTTGGACTTAATAGTGATGCTGTTTGTTTAAGACATGTTTCAGAATGTTTAACTGACACTTAGATCTTAATTCCAATTCAGTTTTGGAAGTCCAGTCCAAGTATACTTGCTGTACAGAGATCAGCAGTGCTCAAGAAACAACAGCAACAACAAAAGGCAGCATCATCAGACAGTGGTTCGGAAGAGGTGAATAGTACACATTCAGTTTTCTACAGTGTAAATTTGCCTGTCTTGTACCATATGCTATAATAAATTTTCTTAGAGCCAAGCTGTATTCTCTAAGTGTCTGTTATAGCTTGTCTATAAAAGTAATGTTCAAAACATGACATTTTTTATTAGGAATGGGAAAAGTATCTTGATTTCTTGGTGAGGTGTGCTAAAATTTTAGCAGCCTAGGTTACGGGTGTATTCAGGTAGATATTCTGTGATGTATGGGCAAAATTTCCAAGCCACATGGTACTTACATTGTATTTTTGGTCTCTTGAGTTTCTTAAAAGACAGTTAAAAATGTTGAAGATTGGTCAGCTGCTCTTCCTGTGTTGATGTAGGTACTGTAGTGTTCAAAAGCACTGTAGGATACATTTTTCAAGTCTTTTTTTTTTTTTTTTTTCTTATCGTTACTACAAAAGAATTCTTGTATCTTCAGAACCATGCCTGAATTCTAGCTATTTAAAAACCTAGATCATTGGTTAGTTAAACTTTGTGTAGTAGGAATATCTTCTAAAGACATTAATGGCTGTGAAATGGTACCTATAAAGCAAGGTTTCCTTGTTTACTGCAAAAATTATTCGCTGTAGTCACACTTAATGGCTGGATTTATTTTTGACTGGTACAGAAACTCGTAATTAAAACTTAACCTAATCGCACATCGGTAAAGCATTAATTTACAGCTTTTGTTGAGTATTTCTTTCTAAAGCTGTTTTTCAGGATATAGATGATCTGAACTTAATCCCTACTAGATGGCTTTTTGGAAAACCTAGTTTTAAAAGGGTTCTTTTTCATTTTTTCTGGGAGCAGAAAGAAGATCAAGCGTACTTTTTTCAAAGTTGGTATTTAAACATTAAAGAATATGAAAAGTGGGAGAGCTTTCCCTGGACAGGAGATTTTATTAGGATTTCAATAGAACCATCATTCTGATTAACTCTAAACATCTTAAGCCATTCTGTGTAAGCACAACAGTTACTTTTTGAGATAGGTTTCGTTGTTGTTGTTCGGTTTGGTTTTTTTGTGGTGTTCTCTGGAGTTGTGCTGCCACAATGTATTCATAGATGGATAAATGAAAAACAGCAGTCCTTATTTTATATTAATGACTACGCGGTGGGGGATTAGGAGAGTGTAACATGAGTAATATGATGACAGTTTGAATATTGGAGCTGAAAACTAGAAATCTTCCATTATTTTCTGATAATGAATTGTGTATTTTTGCTTCATCTGCAGGACTCATCCAGTAGTGAAGATTCTGCAGATGATTCATCCACTGAAACCAAGAAGAAAAAGCATAAAGAGTAAGATATTTTATAAGTAATATCATGCCATTGTTTCTTATGGCAGCATATAACTCATGCCTTGTTTCTCTACACTGAAATGCTTAAGTCCTCCTTTTATTCATGTTATTCTTACCCATTTTGATTGACATTTTTTATTATTTTTAAGTAAACTAAGGGTATTTCATATTCATTTCTGAGCAAAAGCAACTGCAGTATTGTTTAAAAACATTTGTTAGTGCTTTTATTTCTAAAATATTTCTGTTCTAGTGTGGTTTTGAGCTAAAGAGCCTCCCTAAAATTTATTGTTGAAATTGGAAATCAGTTAAGTAAATTTTCTAATGAAATTTAAGTTGGAATCTCCTAGTTAGTGCCAATTTTTTCTTTTCTTTTTTTTTTTTTTTTTGGCCTCTAAGGTGTATAAAATTAATTATAGTTCTGGCAGTAATTAGCTATACTGATTAGAAAAGTAAGTTCCATTGAGGTCAAGCTGCTTTTAAGTGGTAGATCAAAAAGTTTTGAGCATTTATTTTTATGCCGTGTCATTGTGGCAGTGAGAAATGAATAGGCATAGTGACCTGCGTGCTTCACGAATCCTTCATTGAATTGTTCTGTTATTTCTCTTGTTCTCTTGTTGTTAACGAGTCATTGCAGTTCTCCACTTTGCTGGTATCATCTTAAAGAGATGGTAGTTGAAAAAAGATGGCAAGAAAAGCCTAGCTTTGCAAACTTTTCTAATGATGAGTTATTATTCACAGTCTTCTCTTACTTAAAAATTTGATTGCACCTAGTACCATCCTCTGTTACAAGAAAAACATGTCTAGGACACAGTAATCATATGGTCTGTTCTTGGATTTTGTTCTATAATTCCTCTGAACAAATATGTTTGATTGCTATTTGATGAAAAGATCAAAGATTTCTTCATATGTAACTTGGTATATGAGCAAGTCTTAGAGGATGGTTCTTTGTATTTGTTGTCCACATAATTCCACATAAATACAGGTAGGTCATGGATTTAATTTGGTTGATTGATTTTAAATTTACTACCTGCAGAAGTGTTTTAATGAGACATGATTTTTTTTACTATTGGGTACGTACCACCTACACTTTATGCACATACGTGTATTGGGTTACTAGAATTATGGGAATGTAATTTCTTCCAGGATTCAGTGTATTTGAGTAGGAAAGAGAAAGTCAAAGCACCAATTCTTAGCTTCCTTACTGGAAATTTAACAGATTTTTTGGTACTAGACCAACTTTGATGAACATTAGTACTTCACTAACACTTTGGTTAAGGAAATCTAAATCTTGTTTTGGATGTTAATTCTAAGATTTAGTAATCTTTCAACAGTGTATATTAGATTTTTTTTTTTCTTTTTCACAGAGCTATCAAGATTATATTTGCCTTTATACAGTAAGAGTTTGGGGCAAGATTGGTATTCATCAGCTGGTTCATCTTTTCTGTTACAAAGCTAAGCAAACTTTGCGCACAGCTAAGCAAGAGCAAGGAGACTGTGCTTTGTTTACTTATTTGTACTATGTATGCTGCCTGGTTGTGATGCTCTTATTTGTGGAGTGGGAAGCAGGATCTTTTCGGAGGCAGTGCTTCTCACAGCTGCTGCAGTTCAAGTTTTTCAGGGTGTTTCTCTAATCTGCTTTGCATTGTTTTTTAGTCCAGTGGCAAAGTTGCTGATTCTTTACATGAGCCACAGAGGACATAGGTGTTAGAAAATCTAGGACCCTGCAGAGATTTTGTGGTTTGAGTGATTTGAGTTCAGATAAACTTTCTAGCTAGACTTGTTAAATACTTCAGTTTCTTAACATGAGTCATAACTCATTTCTTCAAAACAAAATTTATATAGAAATGCAGATTTTTGTTCTGTTTCAGATGTAACCCCTACCTCTTTAAAATAGGAAACATTTTTTTAACTCCCTTTGAAGTCATTGAGCATTTTTATTTATTGTTAGTGGCAACAATTTTTACTCGGTGATGACAACCATCAAATATAGTAACTGTTAAAAACATTCTCATTCATGTAAAGAATGCTTAAATTACAGTAGATACCCTTGGAGGAATACCTGATTTAAAAAAGAAATAATGTGAGGGTTTTTTTTTGTATTTCAATTGTGCAGTGAAGACTGGCAAATGTCAGGGTCAGGGTCCGTATCAGGAACTGGTTCTGATTCTGAATCGGAGGAAGATGGGGATAAAAGCAGCTGTGAAGAAAGTGAATCTGACTATGAGCCAAAAAACAAAGTCAAAAGCCGTAAACCTCCAAGCAGGTAAGATATACCTTGTGTTTCAATATCCTGGTACTATTTCTAAAAAGCAGTTTAGTATTGTACTGCTATATATATATATATATATATATAACAATTGAAAAGATAAATAATAACTTTAAAATTAAGTAATTTTTTGAAGCTACGGAAGATGGTAGTGATACTACTACTTTGTACTGAATGCCTTTTTTTCTCTGCTGTAATTGAAAGTGATGTAACAAGGCAATCGAGATACACGTGTTTAGAAAACAACGCATAAGAGTTGTGTTGTTCATCTTGATATGTCATTGTTGTGTGCATCTTATTGTCTTCAAGGATTAAACCAAAAAGTGGGAAAAAGAACACAGGACAGAAGAAGAGGCAACTTGATTCATCAGAGGAGGAGGAGGATGATGATGAAGATTATGATAAGAGAGGATCTCGTCGCCAGGCAACAGTGAATGTTAGTTACAAAGAAGCTGAAGAAACCAAGACAGATTCTGATGATTTGCTGGAAGTTTGTGGGGAAGATGTCCCACAGACTGAGGAAGATGAATTTGAAACTATAGAGAAGTTTATGGACAGTCGAATTGGTCGAAAAGGAGGTAATGTTTAACAATGTTCCTAAGATAAGGAACACATTAAAGTACAACTTCAGCCTTCCTAGTTGCAGATCTGTAGTGTCTGTAAACGGTAATAATTCTAAAATATCAGAGTTGTTTTGTTCACATATTTATAAGGATGTTCCTTTCTAGGTCCCTTTCTAAGCATTTCAAAGTAAAATATTGGAGAATTTGTATATCTGCATAGAAAGCAAAAAAATAGTGATTCATAATGCTTAAATGCATACCATATTATTAAATAACTATTTACACAGTTCAGTGGTACTTGATTGGTATAAATTGTATGCAGTGAAGAATAGAAAACAGTGCAGATAGACTGAACAGCTGAACAGTAACCTGAGCTCTAAAAGATTGTGCTGATAATGCTGAACTACTGAGACTGTGATTTTCAGTCATTGCTGTACAAATTATCTCAATATAATGCAATGTGTGGGATGGCAACAAAATGCATATAAAATGTCAATGATTCTCTATTATGTGAATTTCTGGAAGTATCATTTTGAAGGGTGGTAGGCATTCATTCATATTTCCAGCAAGTGCTATGATGCATTGTCCAGCAGTTCTGCTTTATAAGTTTGAGCCTGCAAATTATGAGTTCTAACTATGTATATGCGTATACATATATACATAAATATTTTGTATATGCGTACACAGGTCCTATCTCCAAGCTTGCATTCTTTCCTTTCACCTTTTTTTTCAGATGCTGTCTTAAATTCTATCATGTCTTGCCCCACGGCAGGAGTGCATAGTGTCCCTGCTGTGCTCAAAGTCTTCTGGACTAAGCTGCTTATGGTCTGCCCAGCAGATGCTGTTGCTGCTTGTGCTTTATTTTACTGTTGCCACTCTCCTTTGTTTTATCTGGCCTCTGCAGCTCACTTGGGCTCATGTCCTTGCTTGACTGTCCTCACAGAAATGAGCCTTCTCCCTACTGCTAGGATGCTTTAGCTGCGATAGAGACTGTACTTAATGTTTTTCCCAGGTAAAATTCCAAAATCAGAAAATGTAGTAGAACATGTTGAGGAAGAAATAGATTCATAGCATTTCTAAGTTACTAATATTCCAAACATAATACCAAATGTCTTTTATGTGCTCAGAGATAAGAATAATGTGACAGAGAAGACATCAAGCAGTGTTAGTAGTGCATTCCTTTTCAATCAGAAGCAGGAATCCAAAGAAAATTCTCGTGAGAAAAGATTAGATATTACAGGTTAGATACAGAAGTTTTAATTGCTTTATTGATCCTCTTTTGACTGCTTTGAATGGGTTAACACCCATTGTTCAAATGTTACCTGAGAGCTGTGTATATTAGTGATTTTTTGTTCTCGTATGAAGATACCCCTAGATGCTGTCTACAGGTTATTTCTTACTGGTTAATTTATAACAGTACCCACTTAATTAATAATTACGTTACGGTTTCTTCCTCAGCCACTGGTGCCTCAACCACCATCTATGCCGTTGAGGCAGATGGTGACCCAAATGCTGGGTTTGAAAAGTCAAAGGAGCCGGGAGACATACAGTATCTTATTAAATGGAAAGGCTGGTCACACATCCATAACACTTGGGAAACTGAAGAAACACTGAAGCAACAAAATGTTAAAGGAATGAAGAAACTGGACAACTACAAGAAAAAGGATCAGGAGACAAAACGATGGTGAATATTTCTCAGAGAACTTTTTTTACTTGTTTTGTAACAATGTTGATATTTCATAACAATTGTTTTGTAACAAATGTGTTTCTGAGACCTGTTAACCTCTTCATGAGTAGGAGGCTTCAGTTGTTATACAACAGGAAAACTAAAACTTTGAAAGCTGAAGCCTCCTTGATAAGAGCTAATCTGAACCTGATTTTAGCATTTGTTATAAATAAAATCAGAGTTCTGTAGGAATCTTGGTGCAGAGATTAATGTTTTATTGATGCCTTAACCATTTCTTATTATATTTATATGAATTTAGTTTTATCATTTATTATTTTATTATTATTTATTGACTTGAGAACCTAGAACTGAAATGTAGTCTTCCTGGTCTTTGGTTTTATTAGTATGTTTGATATATTAGTGAATGCTGGTGACATTTTCAGCATATTTGAGTGAGATGAATTCTTATGAAATAGACCACTGTCCATAATGTTCCACGAAAATACCCTGTAAAGTATATTACTTTTTATCTTCATTATTAATACTAGATGTATCTGATAGTAATTCTGTATTTTTATAATAATTTTTAGTATTTAATAATGACACAGCAAGCCCAGATGCAACGTTTTTGGAATAGGAATGTCTGAATTGTATCCCCTTTAAAATAAGCTTTCTAAGTGGTGCTTTTGTAATATTTCCGCTCAGAGTTGCTTGATTTTCCTAGTTTTAGAACTACTCATTGTAATAAATGTTGTAAATAAATTCCCATTTCAGGCTGAAAAATGCTTCTCCAGAAGATGTGGAGTATTATAACTGCCAGCAGGAGCTTACAGATGATCTGCATAAACAATATCAAATAGTGGAAAGAATAATTGGTATGTTACAAATCTAAAACAGTGTTGAGAATCTTGTTAGTGCATTGCTTATATTTGTAGTTAAAAATCTAGTATATCACCAACTTCTTTTCTGATCTAAAACAAAATTTCAGCAAAAGAGGGAAGTTGTCATACTCTCTGTTATGTGGTGCTTATATATGCTGTCTTATCATCCAAATTCAGTGTTGTCTTAAAATACAGAAGTAAATATTCAGTTGATATCTCTAATGCTTTTCTGCAGCTCATTCGAATCAAAAGTCAGCAGCTGGCTATCCAGACTACTATTGCAAATGGCAGGGTCTACCTTATTCAGAATGTAGCTGGGAAGATGGTGCTCTCATTGCCAAAAAGTTTCAGGCACGCATTGATGAGTATTTTAGCAGAAATCAATCCAAGACTACTCCCTTTAAAGACTGCAAGGTGAGTATATAATTGCACTGGATTTATAATAATTTGTACCGTCTCTGCTTGGGTTGTATCGTTAGACCAGAATAGAAGAAAATAGAAGAGAATGGAAGAGAGTAGCTCAATTGGATGGGACCTTCAGAGGTCATGTAGTCCAACTGCCTGACCTCTTTCAAGCTAACCAAAACTTAATGTGTATTATTAAGAGCATTATCCAAATGTCACTGACATGCAGGGGGCATCAACCACCCTTATAGGAAGTCTGTTGCTTTGTTTGACCACCCTCATGGTAAAAAAGTTTTTTTCTAATGTTGAAAAGGGGCATATGTGTTGGTTGTTGCTGAACAGTATTTTCATGATTTCAGAGCAGACTCTGTTTCTCATTGTGCTTACTTCTCCCTTCCCTCTCCTTGAAGTAGGCTAGAGGTTGACAAAATTTGAAAGAGAATATGGTCAGGATGGATCAGTGCTCAAACTGACAAAGCATCAAAGAGATTCTCCATGCCTTGTAATATCATGCTCAGCATTAAATCTGAGGGAGAAAAGTAGGGGGTTACACTGTTGCCACTGCTTGGAAACTTACAGATCTGCTGATTGGAGGCTGTGATTGCTTTCTGTCAAAGGATTCTTTTTTAGTTCTTGTTGTTTTATATTTTCTTTCTTCTTTCCTTCACCACAGTAAAATATATTTATCTTCATCTGCAGGTTTGGCTCACTTGTGGTGCTTCAGTTTTCTCTGCTATCTTGGTAGGGTGGCTTGCAAGCTGCTGGATGGCAGTTTAGCTGTCAGACACACTCAAGCTGAACCACCACATTAGCTGTGAAAGTAAAAAAAAAAATGTGAAAGTAAAAAAAAATGTGAAATTCTCATGCATTGAGAAATATGTATTACAAAACAGTTTTGAAGCTTGTTCAGAATTGTAATAATTGTAGCTGTATAGTGATATATAGGCCAGGTATCATTGGATAGCTTTTTTTTCAGGATAGCTTTATGTAGATACTAATCCCCTACTTTTTTACTGGCATTCATTTACAGGCTTTCTTAGTATTTTGGTTAGTCTGAAAAGAATGTGAACTTTGGAATGACATTAACTTTTTCACAATGTGAAATCTAAATCAGCAATCAATCTAATTTAAACTTGCAAATTGATCATTGTTTTTTTACATGGCAGTTTTCAGTAATGGATTCATACCAGATGTGGTGATCCAAGAGATGCTTACTGCTACATTTTCTATAGGAAGCCTTTTTGGTGACTTCAATCAATGTTAAGACTGATGCTCAGTTTGCTTTGGCAGGTTCTAAAACAGAGACCAAGATTTGTTGCATTAAAGAAGCAACCATCTTACATTGGAGGACATGAAAGTTTGGAGTTAAGAGATTATCAGTTAAACGGATTGAATTGGCTCGCTCATTCATGGTGCAAGTAAGTATAGACTGCTGGTAAATTTTAATCATTTGTAAAACTTCAAAATTGTTTTTTCTACATCTTCTTCATCTCCCTGCAGCTGAAAGTAGAACCTGAGATGACTGTTTTTGCTTTAAGTAAGTCTAAGGCTTGTCATTACATGTTTGGTCAAAGAACAGTTAAGCTCTGTTGCTGTTTTGCTTCTACTTTCTGTGTGGGAGTCGTTTATATTTCTAAAAAGCAATCAAGCAAAAGTACCTAAAGCTACAAAGCCAAAAGAACCAAACAAAATCTTCAGAAATGATGATTTTCTGAAATTATCACCTTACTTCTAAAATAGACTTCTTAGAGTACTTGGAAGCTTTTTGTTAACATTGGTAACTTGGCTTGAGGAAATAGTATATAAATAAACTTCAGGATGTAGAATTGTGAAATCTTTTTTTGAGTAATAGTGCTCAAAAGATAGTAATTTATTTCTTTGTTCATTCCCTTCTCACCATCCCTATTCACCTCCCTCTCTGTTTTTTATTTTCTTGTTTTTGTTTGTTTTTCAGAGGGAATAGTTGTATTCTTGCAGATGAAATGGGTCTGGGTAAAACAATACAAACAATTTCTTTTCTGAACTACCTGTTTCATGAACATCAACTGTATGGGCCTTTTCTACTGGTCGTGCCACTTTCTACCTTGACATCTTGGCAAAGAGAGATTCAAACTTGGGCTCCTCAGATGAATGCTGTAGTTTACTTAGGAGATATAACTAGTAGAAATATGGTGAGTATCCCCCCTTCATCATTAGAAAGTCTAACTGGCAAATCTGATTCATTTTATATTCCTGTCCTCTGCTAATTTGCAGTATTTTGTTTAAGAGTGAGCAATACTTTCTAAAATAATGGGTTTAAGATGCGCATCTTAAGGCTCAAATTACATACAATACAATATATCTATGCAGTGTAAATTCACATGAAAGATTTCCTACATGCTTAATAATAAACAATTAAAAATATAGTCTTACATTTGAAAACAAATTGTCTTCTACCATGTGATTATTTTGCTGAATAAAATAAAAATAAATATTTACGCAAGCCAGCCATAATCATAATATATTTTCTCAGGTTCTTGGTTTGTTTTTATAATCTGTCTTCTGAATATTTATAATCTTATTTATTAAAGTAAAAAATGCTTTGTAGAAATTTGTTTTTATTTATTCAAGAGATTAACAATTATTTTGAATGGCTTAGCCTGGAAGTTCAGTCTTTCATATGTTTTGTGTTATGCTTCTATTTTGTGATGAAATTGTATGCATTTCTATTGCTGTAGTGCTTAAATTCATTTCAATCAACCAAACCTTTTTCCTCTAGCTTACTGTTCATTTTGTTCTTGTAGATAAGGACTCATGAATGGATGCATCCACAGAGTAAACGATTAAAGTTTAACATACTTCTGACGACATATGAAATTTTACTGAAGGATAAGGTAATCACATGTACTTCTTTAGGGAGCCAGAATTGTTTGTCTGGTGTAGAACTTCTGCTAGACTTGCATATGTTTCGGTTCTTAGTCATTAAATGGAAGTCAGGCATGATGGATTTTGCATTTTTGAAATGTAACAGTGTACCCTTTTTAAGCACTAAGAGTATTTCTGTAAGTGTGGTGAGGTTTTCTGCCTTATTCCATTTCATCAAGTGCATTTCATTTGCTTGAACTTCTCTTTACTATAATGATGTCCTCACATCTTGAGGAACTCTAGTTTCCTTGCATCTTCAAAGAATTGAAAAGGAATCAAGCCCCTAGCCCCAGACATCTGTGATACAGTACTCTGAAATCTTGTATGATTTTACTTCATTCATGTGCACTGTCTCCATGATGGTAGTACACAGTTATCAGAAGTTTTTCTAAAAGTATATGAAAATTTTTGGGAATGGTCAATGTAAAGAACATTTTGGCTTCATTTGTTTGTATGTGCTGGGAAGATCAGGTCAATGGAGACTTGTTTGTTCCTGTCAAGAAAATTAATGTGGATCAGAGTTCGGGTTTTTTTCTTTCTTCTCCCTTTAAACTTATCTTCTACTTCCTTGGGATGTTTGCACAGCCTTTCTGATAGTCTGGTAAATATAGTAATGTGCATAAATATTACTAAATGCATGTAGCTGTCTTTATTTTATTAATATAAGGAAAAAAGTTGTAGTCTTTTTATCTTGGTTATGAAATGTGAGAAATTATATAATATGCCTACCCATATAAATGTTAATTCCCCTCTTCCATTTCTTTCAGTCATTCCTTGGTGGTCTCAATTGGGCATTCATAGGAGTTGATGAAGCTCATCGTTTGAAAAATGATGACTCTCTTCTGTACAAGACTTTAATAGACTTTAAGTCAAACCATCGACTTCTTATTACTGGAACCCCTCTGCAAAACTCCCTCAAGGAGCTGTGGTCTTTGTTGCATTTCATCATGCCAGAAAAGTAAGGAAGATTTCCATATGATTCACATGTATTCTCTCTTCTGTGAAGTTTTGTATTGTGTAGTAATGTAGTGATTTGAGAATCAGTAGAGGTAAACATACTGTTGGAGAATTTAACTATTCAGTGTAAGGTAGATGCATTTAATTTTCATGGTCCTGTTGCTATCTCCTGATATCGCTGTTTCTGTTTGCCGTTATAGCAATTTATAAGAATGACAGATTAATGTATATTGGTCAGAACCCAGAGAATGCCTTACTATTAAAACTTGTGCAGCTTTCCAGTGGGGAAATAGAGTAAGATTGAGGTTATCTTATTTTCCTTGATAATACTACCACTAATAGCAAGTTTATACCAGGATGCCTGATATCCTCTGTTTGGGTCGGTTTTTGCTCTAAATAAGTGGGCTTAGCTTATTCTTTACTGATCTCTGTTTGTGCATAAGATAAATGAGAGCTCATGTTAGACCTCACATTCCTACAGGCATCTTGTAAATACCACGCAACATTTCATTTCCTTTGAGTTATGGATTGCATTGACTACTTCAAAGTCTTAGTGATCTAGTACTCAATCTTCATCAATCTAAAGTTAGTTCTTCTGGTCTGTTAAGCACAGGGTAATTATGTTTCTCTTGTCTATTCAAGGTGATAAAAAAAAAAAAGTTGTGTCTTATTGTCTGGCACACCAGCTATATTTTCATGCTCTTCTTGATATATGTAGTAATGGAATCTCTGCAGCTCTCCAACTGGGGAACTATAAGTCAGCAATTTAATCTTAAATTTCAGTTCACGTAACATTTCATTCTTCTATTTAAGTACAAATTATTTGGAATTTCCTATGAGGTCAAAATTCAGATTTTTAAAAAAATTATTATTTTTAATTAAAAGGAGAAGTGAGGAAGAAATCTCATGTATATGTGCACTTTGGTATATTTTTACTCTTCATGTAAATTTTAGAATTCACAGTATGTCACTGTGTTACACTTATTTTCTTTTACATTTAAGATTTTCCTCCTGGGAAGATTTTGAAGAGGAGCATGGCAAAGGAAGAGAGTATGGTTATGCAAGTCTTCACAAAGAGCTTGAACCATTTTTACTGAGAAGAGTTAAAAAAGATGTAGAAAAGTCTTTACCTGCTAAGGTTGAGCAAATTCTGAGGATGGAAATGAGTGCATTGCAGAAGCAATATTACAAGTAACGCCACTTTTTAAATCTTTCTGTTCTACTGAGATGAATATATGCAAATTATGAACTCTAATAATTTTCATGAAGCAGTTTGAGTTAGGGGCAAAAAAAATAAAAAGGACATTTGAGGATTTCAGAACTGTGAAATTCTGTGAAGCAAACTCTTTGAGATTTATGTTGATGTAATCTCTGTCCATTTAGCTTCTACTTTTTGGTATATTTGTTCATCTTATTTGGAGCTTTTTTAAATTTATTTGTTTATATTTTGAGACCTTATCTTGCCCTCATGGTTCCACATGTAGTTACCTACACTGTATGTCTTAAATCATAGGTGGATTTTAACACGGAATTATAAAGCCCTCAGTAAAGGTTCAAAAGGCAGTACCTCAGGCTTTCTGAATATTATGATGGAACTTAAGAAGTGTTGTAACCATTGCTACCTCATTAAACCACCAGATGATAATGAATTCTATAATAAACAGGAGGCCTTACAGGTAATACTACTTCTTTTTGTGTGAAAAAATGTTTTAGATCTGTAATATGCACACAGTAATTTTACAGCTTATTTGGCAATTTATTACTTTTATTAAAGTACGTTAGGAAAGAACAAGATCTCTAAAATGTGCATCCTGGATTTTTTTACAAATGAAGTGATTTTTATTTATTTGTTAGAACAATCTACTAGACAAAATACTAGACAAATAACTATTAAATAAAATTTAATTTTAATTTTAGATAATTTTTTTTAGATTAAAAATTAGATCTTTAAATACAGTGAAAGTGATAAAGAAACAGTTTGAAACAGGCAGTATATTTTTAAACAAACTGACCTTTTCAAACTCAAGTAAAATAATGCAGCTGAAATAGTGGGAGCAATATGAATGGAAATGCATGTAACTGGCATTGATACACCTGCAATCTGTGTCATAACATAAAGTTATCAGCAGAATGTTTTATGCTTTTTTTGTAATCTGATATTGTTTTTTATATGCTTGAAAATGAGTAAAGTGAGAAGAAACAAAAGTAAGGAATATCAAAATCTGTCTGATTTTCTGTTGTTGTCACAGATGAAAATTAACACTGCCAAAATTAACATTAGCAAAGATGGATTGTGATTTTTTTTAAGTAAAAATTAACTAGAACTTGTACCAAAACTGTTGGAAAGTACACAACAATAGACATAAGGAATGTTGTCAACAGTGTAATTTATATCAATATATATTTTTTTCTGAATATCTTTTTATTCCTGTAATCTTTGTATTTGTAATTTAAACAGATTTTCCCAAAAATACTAGTTTATACAGTGACAACTTGTGATTACAAGCTCTTTTATTTTATGCAGTATTTCTTAAAGGCAGAAGCTGTTTTGTTTTCAAGTTGGCACACTCTGCTGCCAGCTGATCATAATACCATTTAGAACTGCTCAAATATTATTTCTATTAATTGCAGACTTCAGACAGTCACTTCTTTGCTCCACCTTATTAAATTTTGTCAGCTCTTACTTATGGAGGACATATCCTCGTCTTTTCTGAGCTAAGTAATAAAAGCATCTCACTCTGAATTTTGCCTTCTCCAGAATTATGTCCCAACCTAAAAAGGCATTAAATTAAAAGCATTAAATTCCACATTTGCTCTCTGTTCCCAATATTCCCAAAGGAATTGAGAAAGCTCAGTGGGGTAACCCGCATAAAGTCAGTTAAGCTCCACGAACAGCAGTCCTCTCACTGTCTTGCCTGAGAAACTTGATTGACAGGCTTAGTTTAAAGATACTTAGAGTTTTAAGCAGCAGCGTTCATTTCTTTTTAAAAGATGGGAAGAAAAGAAGTCAGACTTCAGTATAGGTTTTTCTTAATTTGGTTGTTATTTTTGTTATCAAATGTTAATTTTTAATTGGCAGGAAAGAACCTGTGCCTACACACTAGCTGCTCAAATTTGGAGGCCAGGTTATTTCTTTAATATTTTGACAAAACATTAAGATGCCACTTAATGAGCAGAAGCTGAGAAGTGTGTTCCTCTTTATTTTATTTTTATTTTATTTTTTTGTCTTCTTTTTAGTGAGATAGTGTCCTTTTCCAGTTAGAGTCAACTAAACTAAAATGAGAGAAAATTTAATGTTCAGTTAATACTGCGTAACAGTAAATCTAGCTGTGTACTCTTATTACTACCTGAAGATGTTTTTTAGTTCTAGGACACTGTACATTTTATAACTGTGTGTTATGTGTTATAATGAATGTCAGAATGGCTCTTTTTTTTTTTCCCTCCCACATCAGTAGACAGGAAAACAAATGAATAACTAAACACCTGCAATGTTTGTTAGTGATGAGATGAATTGATTTTGTAATCCATATTTCTTTAATAGCATTTGATACGTAGCAGTGGGAAACTAATCCTTCTTGACAAACTACTGATTCGGCTGCGAGAACGTGGCAACAGAGTTCTGATTTTCTCTCAGATGGTGAGGATGCTGGACATCCTAGCAGAATATCTAAAGTACCGCCAGTTTCCCTTCCAGGTAATGATCTCGGATAATAAGAGGTCTTCATGCTGAACTTAAGAAAAATCATGTTTTTACTCTGAGGGTGGCAGAGTAGTGGAGTACATTGTTCAGATGTTGTGAAATCTCCATTCTCTGTGATACTTTAAAGCCAACTGGGCATGGTCCTGGGCAGCTTGCAGTAGCAGAGCTTGCTTGAGCACAGACAAGATGATTTCTAGAGGTCCTTGCTGGTATTTCAACCATCTGTCATTATCTGTTCTTTAGCATTTTGCTTAAGAAAAGAAAGCAACCTTGAATCTAAAAGATTTTGTGAAGGAGTGTTATCATTCCTTCTTTTTGTTCCTTCACATTACTGTTTTATCAGTTGAGAAGTCAGGTTACTGTGATGGGTTTATATCTAAAGAATTACTTTTAGACTGTAGTTTTCAATCTCTTTAGAGACTTGATGGATCAATAAAAGGGGAATTGAGGAAGCAAGCACTGGATCATTTCAATGCAGAAGGATCAGAGGTATGGTAATTATTTTTTCCTAATTTGATTTTTTTCCCAAGAAAAATTGTATAAAAATAAATTAATGACATTGAATTTTACACATCAGTAAGATTGAAATTATGTAAGGTCTACAATTTATTATTATTTTTTATAAGATTAGGTAGAAAATGCATAATTTATGAAACTAGTATTTAATGAATTGTGTAGTTGTAATATTTTTATATTCTTTTCAATGCCCTTTGTCAAAGTAGTTTTAATTAGTACTGTACTGTAGAAATAATTCAACTCTTTTGCACTGTAAGATATAACATCATTTACAGAAATGCTGAACTTTAGTCTTTAGCACAAAAAGCATCCTTAAGCAAATAGCCAAACTGAGTTTTGTATGATGTACAACCATCTTTAGTTTCTTTAAATATATTATCTTTCTTTTTATGCCACCTACTTAACGTTCCTTGGAACAAAAAAAGGAATAACTGATTTCTAACTGTTCTTTGTACCTTACCTCTGAATTTATAGTCATCTCTGTTATAGCTTTTATTCATTTATTTATTTTAAATGTGCTAAGGAGTGTCTAGCTTGTTTAACACTCCTAATATGTGGGCCATCAATTTGATCAGGTGTTGTCCTTTTTTTTTGGTGATGGGGAGTGCTGTTTTTTTCTTGGTAATAGAATTACATTTCTCAGTTGCTGATGAGTTTCTGTTTCTGCTGGCAGGAGGGAGGACTTAGCTCAGTGATGTAAACTTCAGACACCTGTAAAATACAAGTTTACTTTTATCTGGATTAAAATTTTTAAGCTGTCATCATAGACAGTACCTCTGTCTGAAATCTGTGCAGTTTACGGTGCAGTTTTTGAGGTGAAGAAGAACCTAAATGTCACACAGTTTTCAGGAAAGGAGGTGAATTCCACATTTACACAGCAGCAAAATTATGTTTTCTGTTTTATTCTGAGTTTCTTTCCAGAAAAAAAATTATAAAATTAAAAAAAAAAAATTATTAAATTTTAAAAAAATTATAAAACTCCATTAATGAGCAGTGGTCTTCATGGAAATGTGTAGCATAATTTCCAGGACCCGTTCCTTGGTTTGTTGCTGTTCGTTACATTAGTTAAACTGAGATTTTTTTTCCTATTTTACCTTCTCTTGAATTTCATATCCTATTTTATTGTACGTGTCAAGTTCCTTCTGTAGTCCCTCGTGGTTACTCTACCTAATTCTGTGTCATCTACGAGCTTTATCATCTCATTATTCATTCCATTTTTATGCTCTTACAAATATGTTGAACAACAGTGACCCATGAAGAACAGTTCTACTTCCTGTCCCTTGACTTAACCAATTAGATTTAGGCTCAGGTATCTTTCCTACAGTGCCATGGCTGCTTAGTTTTCTTAAGAGAGGTGGGACATTGTAACTTTGTTGCACACAAGGCTTTAAGAGCAGGAGGTTTGTACTTGCATTTGTTCGGGTTTTTCTGGTTGGCATTTATCTTTTGGGATGCTGCTGCCTTTAAACCACAGAGGAGCAAATAGTAATATCTACTGTAATATCTACTGTAAATAGTTATCAAGATTGGCTTTTTGCTTATAGAATCTTCCCTTAAAGAACAATTATGGAATTGAGAGTGTGTGAGTCTGTTGTCTGTGCCACAGAATGTACAAACAAGAGTCATTATGCTTCTTTCAAGAATACTAAAACTATGATGTATAAAACTATTTCTTGTTTTATGATTGCAGGATTTCTGTTTTTTACTGTCTACCAGAGCTGGAGGATTAGGTATTAACTTGGCATCTGCTGACACTGTAGTTATATTTGATTCTGACTGGAATCCACAGAACGATCTGCAGGCACAGGCGAGAGCTCATAGAATTGGACAGAAGAAACAGGTACACATTCTGCTCGAAGCTTCAAACTTGAAGGATGATTCCATACATTAGATGTCAGCTGTCTGTGTGGGCCATTGCAGTATTTGCGTGTTTTAAGAGTAATTAATAATTGGATGGGTGTGTTCAGAAATGTTAATAAATGCTCAATTTTTATTCAGTTTTTAAATTTCCTGAAATGGAGACAAAGTATGGCAGCAGTGAGGTATGGATGGAGGCTGGAGAAAAGTTCTGGGTTTGCCTGTCTAATCTTCATTGGCATCATCAGGCGCACTACCCTTAGTAAAGTATTTCATAGTTCAAGTTTCTTTCTTGGAGAGGACATGCCATAATAACCAGAAATATAACAATTTTGTGTATAGCAAAAATTGTGGCTAATCACTGAAGTTAATAAGAGAATAAGAGACAAGTCTTGAGTTTATTTCTCTGTTTTTTAAACTGCTTATGTGAAGACATGGCAGTATCAGTGAAAAAATATTCATGTGTGAAGCCAGTCGATAAAATTTAAAAGATAAGTAGATGTGATTTAGATTTCTCTTTGTTGTTTCTTAATGTTTTGAAATATACAGGTTAATATTTATCGGCTAGTAACAAAAGGATCAGTAGAAGAAGATATTCTTGAAAGAGCCAAGAAGAAGATGGTGCTAGACCATTTAGTAATTCAGAGAATGGACACAACAGGAAAAACTGTTTTGCATACAGGTTCTACTCCATCAAGGTACATTTGTGTTATCTTATACATCAATTTACATTTAATTGTATTTGACAGATAAGTAAAAATGTCAATTTCACTGATTAATAAAAGGCGAAACAAGGTTAAATAAATAAAAGCTTCAAAGTGTATTGTCTTAGTAGATTTTTGTTTCTATACTAAGTTTTATTTATCAGTAAAAAGAATGCTTAACTGGTTCATGATTAAAAAAATATATATATAATATTCTAAAATAAAATGGTTTTACTGAAACATTTTGTATTTCAGCTCTACACCTTTTAATAAAGAAGAGTTATCAGCAATTTTGAAGTTTGGTGCTGAGGAACTTTTTAAAGAACCTGAAGGAGAAGAACAGGAGCCCCAGGTAGGTAGATTTTAGAGACGAAACAACCAAAAATATATATGAATTATTTAGTTGTAAAGAAAATTTTCATCTTTTTCAGGAAATGGATATAGACGAAATCTTGAAGAGAGCTGAAACTCGGGAAAACGAGCCAGGTCCATTGACTGTAGGGGATGAGTTGCTTTCACAGTTCAAGGTATAGCTCTGTCCTCCTGCTCCTGTCATAATCACTTTTCTTTATGAAAACTACATGATGCTCTGCATCTGTTAATTCTGAATTTCTTTCTAATAAAATGTCTTTTCATCTCTACTGTCTGTGTAAGTATTTAAAAATGTGAAATGTGTTACTAAAATAAGAAATATTTATGAATGTGTTAATGACCACAATTCTGGGTTGGTTTTCTTAATGCCTTTGATGGTAAGCAGCTGTGGTATTTTTAAACACAGCCTTAATTGATGACTTTTAGAAAGTGCTTTCAGCCCTGTAGTATACTTGAATGCCATATATTTTGTATTATTGGTTAATAATATTACAGTGTGGGTACAGTTTATAAATGCATAAAATATAGAACTTAGTTTCCCTAAAATACTAGCAGATAAGTCTTATTTAAATAAAGCCATGTATTTACTACGTATGTTCTGATATATAAGGTGGCGAACTTTTCCAATATGGATGAAGATGATATTGAGTTGGAACCAGAAAGAAATTCAAGAAATTGGGAAGAAATCATCCCAGAATCTCAGCGGAGAAGGATAGAGGAGGAGGAAAGACAAAAAGAACTTGAAGAAATATACATGCTCCCGAGGATGAGAAACTGTGCAAAACAGGTACCTCTGTCTTGTGTTTTTATGTTGATATTTTCATTTGGGTTTTTGCCTTTTTTTCCCCCTTGTCTGAATTCATGTTTTTGTCAGACTAGATAAGTCTTTACTATATGTGAGTTATTCACGTAGTTTTGAATTCTTGTTCTGAAATTCCAGATCAGCTTTAATGGAAGTGAAGGAAGACGTAGTAGGAGCAGAAGATATTCTGGATCTGATAGTGACTCCATCACAGAAAGAAAACGGCCAAAAAAGCGTGGGAGACCTCGAACTATTCCTCGAGAAAACATTAAAGGATTTAGTGATGCAGAGATCAGGCGGTAAGATACGGGGTGCTGTGTATGTTTGTAAAGGGATCAGACAGGTGGGTTTTTTTTGTTAGTTTTGACTATTCTAGAGTTCAAAAATACAGAAAACAGCTGATTTCTCTCAAACTGATTAGAAAACTTCCTTCCTAGACTCTTTTGTACATTTCTACATTTTGTATCTTTTGTTTTCTGTGGTGCTGACACAGTGAATTATTGTGTCAAAAATGAGCTCAATTTTGTGAGGAGAAAACTAGCTTGGAAGATGTCACCCAATTGTTTTACATTTGATTATCATGAACTACTCGTAATTCCTGCATCTTCTGAGTGCAGCAACTTCAGAAAATTGTCCTGCAACAGGTGATCTTTTTCCATGTGCAAAATATCTATTTCCCATTGTTTTATTTGAAAGTTATAGAAGGGATATGTATATCTCTGTGATGAGAAATGCAAAAGCTTGAGTGGGTTTTTTTTTTCATACTTGTTCATACTGTAATTGAATTAATCTAATAAGGGGCATTTTTAAAACAAAAAATACAAAATCCTGTTGGAGAAATGAATATTATACACTTCCTCCCATCATAATGATGCTAGAAATTTTTTTTTTTACAGGAGAAAGAATTGTTTTACTTTACCTTTATGGCTTCATGAAATGATTCAGAAATTTAGGTTGCTCACATTTCTTTAAAATATTTTCTATCTTTCAAAATCTTTCACGTTATAATAATAACCCCTAATAATCCTTTGCAAATCCTTGTTGCTTTTTTGTTTCAGTTAACAACACAGCTAGTTGGTTATCGTTTTGAAGCTATTCATGTACTTGCAACTTGCATTTTCATTTCATTGCCTTTTTATGCTGGTATTTACAATTTCTTTCCATCACTTATTTTTTCAAACAGCAGTAATATTTTTTATCTTTTATGTTGTATTTTCTTATTTTCTATTTACCAGAATTCTACATTTGTTTTTGATGGCTAAAGACATCTAGTTGCTGAATTTTGAGTCGAGTGAAAATACAGTAATAAACGTTCTTAGGGATAAATAGTATAAATTGTACCTTCTCTTGTTTTATTCTTATCAGTTCTTAAACCAAATACTACACTGACTTTGTGTAGATTATCTGGATATTCTAAACTGCCCTAGTCTCTCTGGTTTTGAATTTAAAAAAAATCTTAGCATAATCCTGTATGGTCAGTTCAAACGGTTTAAAACTAATGTGTTTAATTAAGCGTACATTGAAACTGCAAAATCATTTTCTTTTACTAGGTTTATCAAGAGTTACAAGAAATTTGGTGGCCCTCTGGAAAGGTAAGCTTATTTAATTAAAATTATATAACAACTTGGAACCTTGTTTTCATAGAAATGAGAACAACATACCAAGAAACCTTAGACTAGAGAGAAAATAATGTGCGTAGTCTTTTAATTTGACTATAGTGCAACTTTGGCTTAATGTCTTTCCTTCTGTGATATGTGTTCAGATAGCTACACCGGAAACCTTTCAGTTTTGCAGGACTGCTTGCTCTTTTTCTTTGTATTTTACTCATCTTTTTGCTAAGCTTCTTTAGTTATAGGCATTCAGCTGTCATGTTTGCGAGCCTGTTGAAAACCTGCTGATTTATTCAGTGTGATTGTCAAAGTTACTTTTCCAACTTAGTTTTAAATTTTCTGCATTATTCCATTGTTATGAGAAAAATCTACCATCCTTATTGTTGTGGTTTAACCCAACTGGCTTCTCAGCACCACACATTTACTCACTCCTCCTCTTCTCAGTGGGATGTGGGAGAGATTAAAAAAAAAAAAGAAAGAAAAAGGGGAAAAAAAAAAGTGTGAGTTGAGTTAAAAAAAAGTATTTAATAAGATAGAGAAAAGAAAAAGAATAATAGAAAAAAAAAAAGAATACATATATATACCTTACATACACACTCACATATATGCGCATATATTATATATATATAAATATAACAAATGATGCACAAGCAGTTGTTTACCACTCCCCAACCAATTCCCAGCTAAGCCCTCTGTGCAGCAGAAGAGAGCAAGGTAAACTCACAGCCCCTTTAGAGGTCCTTCCTCTTGTTATCATGCAGTGTGGAATATCCTTTTGGCCAGTTGCAGCCAGCTGCCCTACTACTGTTCCTTCCTAGCTCCTTCACTGCAAATTGCCTTGGCTCCATACAACACTGCTCAGCTATAAGTATATAAACATATAACAGACCTCTGTTATCAGCATTGATTTTCTCCTAAAACCAATACGTAGCACTGTATTAGACACTTTGAAGAAAGTAGTTCCATCCCAGCTGAAAATAAGATATTTCTGTTCCTAAAAAATATTTGTAGTCTACATGAGCCTATTATTTGCAATCTTTATTTTTTTTTTTAATGTACAATAATGGAACTAAAAACTATAGTTCTTCTTATTTTTTGTTATATTGTCTTATGATACCTGAATTACTTCTATTTTTGATTGTTGTAATTCCTGTATTCTTTTCTTTAGCTTTTTTTTTAACTATATGCATCATAATTTTACAATAATTACACAAGATAGCAAGTGCAGGTGACTGATAACTTAAATGATCATTTCTCTAGTGTCAGAAACTGAAGGAGTCATTCACAAATACTGAAGTGACAGAGCTATAAAAATGTTAATTTTTTTATTACAGGTTAGATGCTGTAGCTAGAGATGCTGAGCTAGTTGATAAATCTGAGACAGACCTTAGACGTTTGGGTGAGCTTGTACATAATGGATGCATTAAGGCTTTAAAGGACAATTCATCTGGACAAGAAAGAGCAGGTACAGTGTGTTTGGATGTGTATGTCATGCAAAATAAGAAGTGTCAGGAAGTCTAAATTATTCTTGCAGTGTGATCGTGCCAATAAATAGTTGTGTTAGGGGAAAATACAAATATAAATGTTAGCATGGATGATTTTAAATAATGGGTATGGTGAGAAAATAATTTTTTCCTTTCTGTGTGTGAATTGTCACTGTGGTACGCAGTACATTTTTACAGTACTGTGAGATTTAGAATTAATTTGTTACTCTTTGACAGACTGAGCATCTGGAGCCTAATTGGACCATTTAGTTAAGAAAAAACAATTTCTTGTATCTATAGAAGCAAACTTGCTTGTTTTCTGAGTCTTTCCGTAAAATGCATGTAACAGCTAACATCTTAATACTCTCATCATTTGTTTTTAGGAGGTAGACTTGGGAAGGTTAAAGGCCCAACATTTCGAATCTCAGGAGTGCAGGTGAATGCAAAACTCGTCATCTCTCACGAGGAAGAGCTGGCACCACTGCACAAATCCATTCCTTCTGATCCAGAAGAAAGGAAAAGGTAATTTCTTTTTGTAAAGGAAGTCGTCATGTAAAAAAAAATTTGGACTTCGTCTGCTTTATTCAGACAACTGTAACTCAGAGCACACTGTGATTGTGTTCTACCTCCATTCCCTGTAGGGACTGGCTGCTGCAGCAACCTACTCCATATTAGTTTTTCTTTCTTCATTCACTTCACAAGTCAGCACCAGCTTTGGTTTGTGAATTGCATTTACTGAGGACTGTGTTTGATTTTCATAGTAATCCAAACTAGAAGTCTTGCTTGCTGAGTAGCTGTTGTGTCATCACTGCTTGAGGGAAAATAGTGTCTGTCAAACTGCAGCAGATGGTAACTGATGGTAGTAGTTACGACTCAGAACTGCTTTTGCTTTATGCATCACTGTTCTTAGATTACCCATATATTTAGTCAGCAGTTACACTTAGATGATGTTTTATGCTTTTCTTCATGGTTAGCTAACTGTGGTATAACCCAGAGCCACAGACTAATGTATTTGTTCTTCACATTGTAATTTTGATCAGCTTTAAAACGTATTTCAGTGCTGATTTAAATAAATATTTTGTGAAAGTGTTAAGGAAATATGGTAGATACACAGATTGATTTCCTGAATATAAGAGTACCTTAGTGGTGTAAGTAGGTATATTTTCTCTGTTCTTAATGTGTTTCCCTCTCACTTCCTATGTTCCAGTGGTAAAAATCCCTTATTTGTCTTTCTAATTTATTTCTGCTAGATATGTCATCCCATGCCACACCAAGGCTGCTCACTTTGATATAGATTGGGGTAAAGAAGATGATTCCAATCTGTTAGTAGGCATCTATGAATATGGCTATGGCAGCTGGGAAATGATAAAAATGGATCCAGATCTCAGCTTAACACAGAAGGTACGTCACCTATGGCATTTTATCAAGGACTTCTTTTGTTTATGAATAACATTAATAACAATTACAAAAAGTGTTTATTTTTTGGCAACTGAAATTGATAAGATTTTGTATGTCTGTAGTACTTCTACATTTCTGAAGTTTGGTATGTTATTAGATTTTAAGTCTTCAGTATTCAACTGAAGCATGCCTTCTTACGGTCAGTTATGCTTCCTTATTTCTGTGTGTTTGGGCGTTTTTCATTTGAATTTTTTTTTTTTCTGTCTTTTGCTATTGTAGATTTTTTTGTTGTATTTGTCTTGTTCTTGAGCTTTTGGGAAGGAGCTTGTACTAGACAGAGATTTTGGTTGGTTTCTTTGTCACCGCTTAATCCCAACATTCTTCAGTTGAAACTTTTCATCGTGGCATAAAAATAGCCATCGTCACACTGCAGTATTCGAGTTGTTGCTTGGCAGTAGTGCACAACAGATTTAGGAAAAAACTGGGCTGTTGCAAACAACCGGTAGGGATTCAAGGAGCAAGGATTGCATCCAAATTTGTTTAATAATGATTTCTACTTTTGCCTTCCATTAATTTTTTGTTTTATGATACCACACATCTATGCTTTTTGTGTCCTGTAATAATGAGTTTTGCATTTAGAAGGTGCACAAGGCAGAGACGAGTTCTGTGGTAGAAAAGCACAGAATTTCTTAGGTAAATAATGAAAGTGGAAACAGAAATCTAAGGATAGTTTGAGTTTGTTCTGAACTCTGTGAGCAATTTTGAAGCCTTTGTATTGGCTGTGATTAGAGAGAAATGAAAACATTTAAGAAATTCTCCCATGGCTTTCAAGCATGCTGACATATTTGCTTGACACAGTTGAAGTGGAAGGATTCACCATCCTCTATGAAGATTTTTTTTGTTCTGAGTGCTCTAAGCTAGCATATTTGAAAAGTTGATAACGCATATTCACAATTCATACTACCAATGTTCTCCTTAGATTTTACCTGATGATCCAGACAAGAAACCCCAGGCAAAGCAGCTACAGACCCGTGCAGACTACCTCATTAAATTACTGAATAAAGACCTTGCAAGAAAGGAAGCACAAAGGCTTGCTGGTGCAGTAAGTAAAATTTGGCAAAGTAATATACTTACAGGGTTGTGAATAGAACTTTCTTATTTTTTAGTTCTCTTTTTTACTTTTTGTAGTGTTTGTATTCATACTACAAGAGATGAACATAGTAAATGAATTGCAACTGTATCTTGTATGTTGTATATCTTATTTGTGTGTATTCTCTGCTGTTGCTCTGTGCTTTGTCTACAATCCAGAGAAAAGTGATGATTGTTAGTGGCAATAAATAAGATTAAAATTCTGTTTGATGTAATTCTGCAATTATGGTGAGGAGGTATTTGTCAGCTGATGTATTAAAAGTACTAATTTGCATTCAGGGCAATTCCAAGAGAAGGAAGACAAGAAGTAAGAAGAATAAGATAAAGGCTTCAAAAATAAAAGAAGAAATAAAAAGTGATTCTTCACCACAACCCTCAGAAAAATCTGATGAAGATGATGAGGAGGAGGATAACAAGGTAAATATCTTTCATATTTTAAAGATGCTAGTAGCAGTTCATATTTTATTTTCTGTTTGATCTACTAAAAACAAAGCACCTGAATGGCCTCTTCTTCCTATGGCTGCTGTTGTTAATCAGTACAGTCACATGGAATTTAAGAATAAACCAGTAGATAAAGAATTATGACAAGTTTTCCAAATTATAAAATAATTTTTGTGGTCTTCTGAAAAATAACATTGTTTAACTTCAATGTTATTTAAATACCTAGAGTTATTTAAATTCCTAGCATCTGCTAAGAATGTAAATCTAACAAAACTGCAAATATAAAACTGCAGTCTCTGGCTAATGTGTTGCTACTACTGATACTGATTCTTCAGATATATGTTTTTGTTCAGGCACAGGGGAAAAAAAATCAAATTAATTTAGAAGCAGCACCATCAATAAATGATGTTTCGAAACATGCATGTGTAAGTTCCAGGTTATGTCATGACTCTCATTATCTTAAAAGGCTACTTAACCTTGTTGGGTTACTTCAGATGTATTTCATCAGGCTTCTGCTTTGTTAGATCTTTTTTTATATATTTATTACAAAACCAAATCCACTGGAGAGAACAGCATAGAATGTCATGTCACGGCTATGTTTATGATTATGAAATCAATTTAAGTAATTAAGTGCAAATCATTAACTAAAATCCTTTCTACTTGGTTTAAATAAACTAAATAGAAGTATCTTTCATAATCATTTTATACTATGATATACCTCTGTAATTATCAATTCTCTCTGTGAAGAATAAAATACTTATGCAGATATATATCGCAGAAGGGTAGGGGTTGAAATGGACCACTGGAGATAATCTAGTTCAATCCCTCTGCTAAAGCAGGTTCCCTGCAGTAGGTGTGTACTTGAAACTGATTAGGTTGGAGAAGAACTATGATACAGTTTATAATACAGTTATTAAAAAAAAAAAGACATTTTTAACTAAAGCCTTCCTGTATGTTATTTAAATTGTTTTAAGAAGAATAAGACAGTAACAAATGTACCAACAAACAAGCCTTCCTATGTAGACTGGTTTGTTTTTATAGATACAGTAACTTGAATAGTTTATCTAGAATGCTTAGAACTTAGAACTGTATGTGTTGTCACCACAGTTCCTAGTAAAATTGATATTGGCAGCTGAATCATAAAACTTTGTAAATTATGACTTAAAACTTCTTGAAAAAATGAGTGTCAGACATATTCTTTATGAGAGTCCACTCTTAACAGAAGACATTGCTAATCTGTTTCTTGACTTGATGCAGTTTGGGAAAATAACTAGAATGTCTTCTCTTTCATACATTTAATAATGATTATGCAACACTTGAATATTTTTGAGCATAGACAAATGGTAGTACTTCTGAAAAAAAAAAAAATGATCCTCAGGTACTCTTTAAACACCTAAACATGTGGCTCTAGCTACTTAACTTCCATATTTTGTGAATATTTAAAACTCATTAGTCAAAAATTCCTTAAGCATTCAGGAAACAGATGTAGTCATTGGATTTTTGCAAGAAAGTTTACATGGTATCTAAATGATGAAGTCCTGACTGGACTGCCTACTTGATGTCTAATCTAAGTAACTTTTGGATTCATTTGTTAGGTGTCCTTCTATGTAATTTTCTGCAGAAAGTTATGTATTTGTTTGCTCAATCTGTATTTCAGATCAGTTCAGAGATGATGATGATGATTCTTGCATCTGTTCATATTACATTTATTTCTTACTATTATAGTATTCTTCTATGTCCAAAAAGACATGAGCATCCATCTCTGACCTCTTAAGTAAATGTTACACTGATGGTAGGGCATTTATTTAATCATGAATTAATTAATTGGGCCACATGAGACAATCTATAAGTAAGACTTCGTATTTGAACTTAAAAAAAAAAAAAAACAAAAACAACAATTCAGGGAAAAAAAGAGAATTTGGGATTCTCTCTGTGAATGTTTAATGTGGAAGCAGTAAAAAGTTACTGGGACTATACTAATTAGAACTGAGGTCTTCTAATATTCCTGTTAATTGAGTGTCCTGAATAATGTGCTCATATTTGCAAATCTGTTTCCCTCCAGTTTTTAGCTTTGAGCTCAATTATCTTTTACAGGAGCAGAATTCTTTGGGCATACAAAAGTTAAATGGACGTAATTTCTTACCACTCATTACCATTGCCAAATCAGTACTTATTTTGTGTCACATCAAGGAAATGAAGAACAGTCCTCATTTTTTTTTACAGCTGCATCCATTTCTACTTAGTAGTTATTAAATCTATGTCAAAAAGGAAATGCACAGATAAAAAGTATGTTTTAATCTGATGGTTATGAAAATTTTATAGGTAGGAACACAGTTTGATGTGACATATATGCTTGCGTATTGCAGGATGAGATTGTTTCAGTGAAACATCTACATAAAAAAATAAAAACAGAAAAAGAAAATGAAGAAAAGCCTGAGCCAGATATTGGTATAAAGAAGGAAGCGGAAGAAAAAAGAGAGACAAAAGAGAAGGAAAATAAAAGGGATTTGAAAAGGGAGAAAAAAGAAAAAGAGGATAAGAAAGAATTAAAAGAAAAAGATAATAAAGAAAAGAGAGAAAACAAAGTAAAAGAATCCACACAGAAAGAAAAAGAAGTAAAGGAAGAGAAGGTAACTAGGTTTACTTATCTTATACAGCACTAGAAAAGGCAACTAGGTTTTTGTGAATTATTTTGAGTTGAAACGATATTTTGGATCCGATCAGTTGTCATTTCATTGAAATCTTTTACATTATTTGACGTTTTGTTTTTACGACTTGCAACTATGAGGACAGGCATATGAAATAGGAAATTACTTCTTTAATTATACATGACTTATATGGATTGAGAACACAAGTGGGTGCAAGAGACTCTTATTCCTGTTCCATTCTGCTTTTCCATCCTACAGAGAAAGTGAAAGGTGTCATCACTGAATGTAAGCATGGTTTTATTACTAAAGAGAATGCAGTAGTTATCATCATTTTCATACATGATAGGTTAATTTCACACCCTAAGTACACTTAAACATTTTCATATTTTGCTCTTAGGTAAATGAAATCAAATCTGAAAATAAGGAAAAATCTAAAAAAATTCCATTACTGGATACTCCAGTTCATATTACTGCAACCAGTGAACCAGTTCCTATCTCGGAAGAATCTGAAGAACTGGATCAGAAGACATTTAGTGTGGTAAGTCCCTTTTTGATGATACCTTAGTGCTTCTCTAGATATTCTAAATGGACACAGTTCTGATATTACTGTAATGTTATGTACAGCATTATTAATCTCAATAGCACAGAGATCTCTTGCTAGTAAACTGTCAGGCCAGTGAATGTCACTGACATTATATTGACGTTTCTTCTGTATTCAGGTCAGCAGTTTTATATTATTGCTTTTTGCATTTAGGCATTACAGTAAGAAAACTTATCTAGTGGTCAGTATGCTGAAGAAATCTATCCTCAATAAAAACTTAGGTATTCTACTTGTTCAAGAGCAGAAATTAATAAACAGGCTTTGGAAGGGTACTTTGAGCAATCATGAACTCTTCTGCTGTAGATGTGTTATCATACAGATGGCAACAGTTCTCAGTTTCTGCCAGACAGATTTACTTGATCTGCGGTAGTGTTAGACTGTAGCATGCAAATTAGATTCTCTTGAGTCTGCCTGTCATAGGTCTATATAAGTATTTTAATTAATCATTGCAGTTTACTCATTTATGATTCCCAGGATGCGTCTCCAGTGATTCAGGTGGATTGGGGTGTGTGGTTGAAAACCACTTGATTTCTGTGTACAGTTTATATTTTTTTTTATCACTTCTGCTCTTAAGCAATGAACTCTGTAAGCTGTTTGTAAAAACTAGTTCAAGCTGTGGCTAGGTCAATGTGTTGTACAGCTGCTTAATTATTTAGTGACGTGAACAAGCAGTTGAAACTCTCCTTGAACTCTTCCAGGGGAGTGGCTCCACAACTTCTCTTTTCTTAAGATTTTGACAAAGTGATGGTGGTATTCTTCAAAGACCTGCCCTCCCTTTTATTTTTAAATAAATAAATGAAGTCTGGTTCTACAGATGTAACATTTGTCCTTGCAGAGAACAATTCTGGTTTGTGTTTGTGCATGGAATAACATTTTTTGGCCAGGCTCTTATTTCTGAAATGCATTTTTTTTCTTATGCCATGGTCAGATGCAGACTAGTTAGCATGTTTTACTACACTTTCAAATACTAATTGCTGCTGCAGGTTGTTGAGGCTTAGTTGATTTGACTTTTAGGACAAGGAGAATATGCATTTCATCTTTTTACGATGCTATTGTTATTACATGGAATTTCTAAGCAAGTATCATATAAATCACTCTATCTGCTTGATCAGCATTTATTCTTAAAACAGTTGAATTAAAGTGCAAAAATTCAACAAAGCACATATAAAATGTATCTTTGCTGCCATCACTGTTATTTACCTACACATATGTAAGATAGCTTTATTCTGAATAGCTCAGGTTCTGCTGATATCTGCGTGACTGTTAGGCTTAAAATCTTCTCAGAGAAAGAAAGCATCCCCTACTAAATGGCAAATAATTGCAAAAACATCATTTTGAAATATGCTGAATACTCTCACACTTAATCTTGAAATTGAGTTTTTAGCTGTTAAGTTGCTGAAATGAAAATAGGCCTTGCCCTAAATACTTGTGCTGAATTTTGTAGCAAATATTATCAAAGCTAGTTGTAATAAATCCTTCTCCCTTGAAAATCCTTTAGACTGAAGTATTATTTTCTTAAATCCTGAAAATCTTTATTGTAAATTATGTCTTGCTCTTATATAGGAGTAAAATTTCCAACTGAGTTTAAAATTCAACTTCTTCCAGTGGAAACCTGTAGTAAAACTAAATTTTGAGATCTCTTAGCAGTGTTGTGTTTCATTTGGCTTGTAACTATACTGCCTTTGCCTGTATAAATGTCACAGTAATGGGTGGGTCATGTTTTTGGGCTTTTTTTTTTTCCCCATTTTACAGTGCAAAGAAAGAATGAGGCCTGTCAAAGCAGCACTGAAACAGCTGGATAGACCAGAGAAGGGCCTTTCTGAAAGGGAGCAGCTGGAACATACTAGGCAGTGTCTAATCAAAATTGGGGATCACATTACAGAATGCCTGAAGGAGTACACAAATCCAGAGCAAATAAAACAGTGGAGGAAGTAAGTTTTTTCTGCATTGTTTTTCTTTTTTTAAAAGGGAAATCTCCAGTTGTTTGTACTAAACAGTGAAGTTTTTAATCATTTCTCTTATTTCTTGTTCACTATTTCTTGTATCTTTCTGCTGTTTTAAATAAGGATTACAAAAAATGATTAGTGGTGGACTTCTTCATATTGCATAGCAATGCATTTTATCCAGTAGGTGGAGTCATCTCACTTCTTAGAGCAATAAATAACTGTTACTTACACTCTTTTAGCAGTGGGAAAGAGTCCTTTTCCTCAAGGATCTTTTATTTCAACTTAATGGATTTTTTAATTTGCACTAAAAATAGGCAATTCTAATTGGTATGCTGAAAATTTGCTTGATTTTGATGTGCAGAATACTTTCTTCGTTTTTAAATACACTCTAAATCAAATGACTTGATTTAAAAAATCATACTCACATATATCAAAATTAAGGGACTTTAAATCCTTTTATGCATTGTGAGGTGGTATTTTTCGAAAAAAAACCTATTTTTTTAAGCATATTGCACTTTTAAATTCTTAATGCAGTTTGAGTTCATTCTGTCTGAATGTATGTTTCAGTCTTTTATGGTTGAACATATATCCCACATTTCCATATGCAAGCTATTTAAGTGCTATAATTTCCTTGCAGACTGTTGCTTCATTTGTTTCTACCTGGTTTATTTCAAATAATTAAGATGATCCAAAATATATAAACAAGATCCATGTCTTACATCCTGATCAGACATTTGGAAACACACAATAGAAATATTATTCAAAATAATGCTACAGTACCATTTCTAGACTGCTAAAATATGTATTCCAGCTGGTTTAGGTAAATACTGTAAAGACACGTAGTCTGTATTTCAAAGTTACACAAGTATCTTTAGGCTCACTACTGAGTTGTTATCTACCTTTGCAAACCTCTAACCTGAAACTGTAATGCTTAAATAGTGACAGTGAGGAGCAGACTGTTGCTTCCTGAGCGTGCACTTCAGATGTTTCGGAGCACTAGGATTGTGTGGTCTCTTTTAAGTGTTCTACCTGTAAACTTGACTAAAAGAATTTTAGACTTCAGTTTATTTATCTGTAATCATGGATGCAAACTTTTTCTTTAGGGCTTTGGCAACCCAACAGCAAAAGACCTCAGTTAGTCTTCTTTCTTCCTTTGTAGAACAAACTAGCCTTGAAGTTATTCCTGTGTTGCTTCTGTTCATTCTCAGATTTCTTGTTTGATTTCAAAAGCTCTGACCAGGCTCTAGAATTCTGTGGAAGAATTCTATGATATTTTCAGGAAATAAGCTGTGAATCAAATGTCATACACTGGAAGAAACTTCAGTTCTGGAAGAACTTTCCCTTACATACTGTGTTTACTTAAATTTTAATTACTGAGTTGTAAATACTCAAATTTTGTTAGATTTCAAACAATCTTTCAGAAGCCATACATAAACTGAAAGCAATATTTATAAGCAGTTACACAAACCATTTTATTAACACAAATGTTATTACCACTTCATTTCACACACTTGGATCTGTGAAGTAATGATGATAAATATTACAAAATGACAAGTTATTACAGGAATTCACTTATCAAATGCTTAAAATACAGCGAAGTAATTCTTGCTGTGCATCTAGGCGTGTCAACGGTTTACGGGCTGGTTCAGCCCAGTTCCGTGACTAGCGGGGCGGAGGGATCCGCAGATCCGCGC